ATATCTCTTAAGACACCCACCAAAAACAAATATTTGTATTTTACTGGTTCCTTAACATTTTACAAAACAGATCCAGCGAAACAACCTTCCAAGAAGGAGGAAGAGAGGTAAACGCATATTTAATATATTTTTTTATGAATAAGCAGGCATTAAGTACTTTGAGTGTGTTATCTATGGCAGGTTTGGACGGAAACGGGATCAAATACTAGCAAGGAAAGACAACAATATGAACTGACAATGAAATGTAATAATTTCAGATTAAAACAAGACGGGGCATTTTGGTGTAGGAAGTGCAACAAGACAGGAATCTGAATAATTCTATAGACATCAGCGAGTTAAAAATGCTTCATATACGGACGTCTTGAAAATTGTAACTGAATTACGCGCTAGCTCATATCACATACACAAATGTTTATATAATATGACCTAACTTGTAATTCAGCAGGGTTCATTTCTGTTTGGCGACCACATCACACGAGATTGAGGGAAATCCTACAGCTTAACTCTTTGAGTCCCAGGGAACGCATCACGCGCTAATTTGTTACAACCACCAGGCCCAATCGACGCGTGACAAGTTAAGGTTTTTAATTTACCGCTGACCGGTCATAAAACTGTTTTTAAAAGGAGTAGAAAATTATCAGGAAGAGAAAAAGTTGGTAAAAAACAACAAATAGTTTATGTTAGCTTTACAAAATCGATCACAATAAACAAACAAAGGACTTTGCGGCGATTAGCCTTCATCAGCACATAAAGATAGATAGATAGATAGATAGATAGATAGATAGATAGATAGATAGATAGATAGATAGATAGATAGATAGATAGATAGATAGATAGATAGATAGATAGATAGATAGATAGATAGATAGATAGATAGATAGATAGATAGATAGATAGATAGATAGATAGATAGATAGATAGATAGATAGATAGATAGATAGATAGATAGATAGATAGATAGATAGATAGATAGATAGATAGATAGATAGATAGATAGATAGATAGATAGATAGATAGATAGATAGATAGATAGATAGATAGATAGATAGATAGATAGATAGATAGATAGATAGATAGATAGATAGATAGATAGATAGATAGATAGATAGATAGATAGATAGATAGATAGATAGATAGATAGATAGATAGATAGATAGATAGATAGATAGATAGATAGATAGATAGATAGATAGATAGATAGATAGATAGATAGATAGATAGATAGATAGATAGATAGATAGATAGATAGATAGATAGATAGATAGATAGATAGATAGATAGATAGATAGATAGATAGATAGATAGATAGATAGATAGATAGATAGATAGATAGATAGATAGATAGATAGATAGATAGATAGATAGATAGATAGAACAAACTTTTTTTTTCAAAGGGTTACAAATTGGGCGCGCAGGTCCGTCTGACATTCGGCCCTTCTAAGTACTCATTTTTCAGAGTACCAATACCTGTTATCAATAATGCACATCATCAATACACACATCATGTGTACACAATCGTACACACTCACACACACACGTATACATACTCCTATGTTCTCATACATGCGAACTCATATACAGACATACATGATACATACACAGATGCATCTACATACATATACAAGCATACACATACATAGACATAGATGCACAAACAGAAAACACACACACTTACATTTATAGATATACATGCACACACACATTCCATACATACACATCTATACATGCACCCATGCATATACACATTTACAATCACATGTACAGACACCAAAATATGCCCAAAACCACACATTTACACTTATATGAATACATACACCCACATACATGTATACATATATTCACACATACATACACACATTTATACATAAACTCACATCTTTACACACATACATACATACACAAATATGCTTTCATATATACACATGCATACACACACAATCACACACACATGCATACTTGCATGCTTTTATAAATACACAAACACACACATACCTACACAGCTACATATACCTGCATACACCCACATTATACATAAATATACACACACACATACAATCACATACTTACACAGCTACATTTACATTCATACATTCTCATACATACAGACCTACATAATACATACATGCACCTACATACATATACGCACACATACACACATCCACATGTATACATGTATACATATATACATAGGCTAAATCTGCATGCATAATAATAATAACATACATCAACATACACATACAAACATAAAACACACACATCTATTTACATAGACATACATGCGCACACACACAGACACACATCCATACATACACACATCCAAACATACACTCACATACTTACAAACATACATACATACATACTTGCAAACCCACATAAATTCACACACATACTTACACAGATACATGTGCATACATACATCCACCAACATGCATACAAACACACATACATGCATACACACACATAACATACATACACACATATGCATGCATACAGACATAAATAATCACACAAACAGACACCCTCATACAAACATTCACTAATATATGCCTGCATACATACATACATACATACATACATACATGCATACATACATAATACAGACACACACACAATCACACTCATATACAATCACACATACACCCATATCCTTACAACTTACATATATAAATACACACACATACTTCAAACCTAAAAATATAGACATATATCCACATATATACACACACTAACAATCACACACACCCACCCACATAATACACACATATAATACATATAAGTAAGATGATAATGCATGTGAACTATTAACTACATCTATGGTTGCCTATAATCACTAGTAAGCATGAATTTTAAAAGGCTGCGGTTAAACGAGTACATACTCATATTTTTTTCAGATCGAGTGGGAGGTGATTCCATAAATGAGCAACAGAATACGACAAACTTGTTTTATATAGATCTAATCTAGGCTTCGGCAAATGCAAAAAATTTAGCCGTTTGCTGGTATTAGGGTTGGTTTGAATTAACTGGAGAAGATAATCTGCAGTGTTCTGAGCTAAAATTTTATGAATAAATTTGGCTTTATAATAAATTAATCGCTTTTTAAATGGGAGAATTCTTAACTGCCTAGAGAGATAATTTTTATCGGTATGTTTTCTATCCGAAACTAGGTATAAAGCGCGATTTTTTAGAGAACACAGTCGTTTTAAGTTGGATTTTGAGCAACCATCCCAAAATGTCGAATGTAGAGAGATGTAAAATGTAGAAATGTCGAATGTAAATAGATAGAAAGATAGACAGACAGACAGACAGACAGACAGACAGACAGACAGACAGACAGACAGACAGACAGACAGACAGACAGACAGACAGACAGACAGACAGACAGACAGACAGACAGACAGACAGACAGACAGACAGACAGACAGACAGACAGACAGACAGACAGACAGACAGACAGACAGACAGACAGACAGACAGACAGACAGACAGACAGACAGACAGACAGACAGACAGACAGACAGACAGACAGACAGATAGATAGATAGATAGATAGATAGATAGATAGATAGATATAGATAGATAGATAGATAGATAGATAGATAGATAGATAGATAGATAGATAGATAGATAGATAGATAGATAGATAGATAGATAGATAGATAGATAGATAGATAGATAGATAGATAGATAGATAGATAGATAGATAGATAGATAGATAGATAGATAGATAGATAGATAGATAGATAGATAGATAGATAGATAGATAGATAGATAGATAGATAGATAGATAGATAGATAGATAGATAGATAGATAGATAGATAGATAGATAGATAGATAGATAGATAGATAGATAGATAGATAGATAGATAGATAGATAGATAGATAGATAGATAGATAGATAGATAGATAGATAGATAGATAGATAGATAGATAGATAGATAGATAGATAGATAGATAGATAGATAGATAGATAGATAGATAGATAGATAGATAGATAGATAGATAGATAGATCGTGGATGGTGGGGTGAATGGATGAGTGGGTAGCGCAATTGATGGGGGAGGGGGGGGGGGGTAGACAGATAGACGAAATGATGGCTATACTCGTAGATGGATGGATCGGCCGATATATGCAATCAGGTAAAGACAAGGGTCTCAAGACACGATGCTTCTCACTTACTGTCAGCTATGAAATAGAGACAGTAAGGGTGATTGTTATACGGCGTATCAGTCGAACCGAGCGCAGAACTGGTTAAAAAACAGAATGTAAGGGAGCCATGGAAAAATAGCTAGGGTGGATGGTGAGGTGAGTGGGCGAGTGGGTGGTGACAAAACGCAGACTGCTCAATTTCAACTTCCTTTCGAGTTCTTTGTGTCTGATATCAAGCATGCTCATTTAAAAACGTGGTCTGAAACCAGAAAATATAGTATATTTGCGAGATTTACCAGGTTACTAAGCGTTTGTTTGAAAAGAATATGGCCGCCAAGCAGTAGTCTACAGGCATGCCAACATGATTTACGGCTTTAGAAGTCTCACATTTATATAAAGTACGTGTTTATTCGATTTATCCGGTTAGATAGATAACGCTGTGAATTAGACGTGTTTCAGTCATTTATAGAGTCACACTTTGATATGTCTAATATGTACCTCACGGGAAGGTACAATGAAAGCAAAGTCAGCTGGCATAAATAGAATAAACATTAGTGAAAATTCTATTTTCTTCAGTGTCAGTTAGTTCTAGTGCTATTTCCCTTATAATTTAGGAAAATAGCTACAAAATTAAAGGCAAACTGAGTGTTATATAAACTTTGTTTTGTGTGAAGTTACTTATTGTTTTGGGAGTCAGTTTTCTTTACCAAATAATGGTGCTCTGTTATGATGCTTCAAAAGATTCTTTAGAACAAAATCTAAAGTAACAGATTGAGTTTATTTTCTTCTTATACGAATTTATATGCATGAAACGAAAATGACCAAATCAGCCTAACTCCAGACGACTTGATCAGCATCTGTCTGTCTGGCAACGGAGACAGCCTTTTGATCAGGCTTGGCAAAGGTTTCTATAACATTAAGGTAAATTCATTTTATCGTTTTAATGATTCGCACGTATAGGGGTCTTATAATTTATTACAAATATATGACACATCTTTTGCAACAGCAACTGAATCTTGATCTTCAACCCATTTAAACGCTCGTTTACATCATACTCAAAAGTTCATGCAGTTCGTCGTCATCTTTGTTGTTTCCAACATCCTCAAAGCTCCACACAAAATTCATTTTTACGTCTGGTGTCCTTAGTAGTTTGTAGTACACACCTAAATATAAAAAAGATAGACGATGTATCCTCTGGCTATTTCTTTATTATTATTTTGTTTTGTTTGGATGGAGGGGGTTTGAAATAACATATTAAATTGCAATGTTGTTCTGTTGCATGAGTGAGTAAGATTCAATCGCACCAGGACATCCACCAAGCGACAAAAACCCGGTGACACAAAATGCCACCATGGGGATGAGGATCAGCCGCAGAGAGGTTACAGAAACCCCGTTCAACCGTTAGGTTATATTAAGGCCCCCGACTACAGACAGGGTGGAGCTTTAAAATAACGACCAATTGCGTCCCATATTGAGACGTCAGATTTTGTCGAGGGACAACTGTTGCGTGTCCTTAGACAGCTGGAAATAAATATGTTATCTGACAATTTTAAAGTGGTCCCATATAACGTATATAATTTATAGTTAACATTTGATAATAATATACATGCTGCAGGTTGTCAACAACAATTAGATATGTCATTTATAATCCTCAGCTAACAGAAGAAGCAGAACAAAAAGTCAACAGATCTAGAGCTCTTGTGGAAGAAATCCTTGCTAGTAATAAAGGTACGTCTCAGAACTATTGGCAATAAAGAGACACAGTGACGCATTCACTGTCATCGAGACTATTGAAATTAATGAACTTAGTCCAATCTGTTTTAATGGGGAAGTAGAACTTAATATCTTTTTCTTCTAAGCTTTTATCGGCTGTAAACTCTGACGCTTCTGGCTGTTCGTCCACTTCTGAACTATGGTCTGGTTACAGAACTTTAGATTTGCTTTCACATACGTTTCACAGATTTAGCTTATTTGTATGCAGTTTGTTGATTCCTCGACTTTCGGGCAAATGCACTCCTATGCACCCCTAATTGGTCGCCTTTCACGCCATGCTTGTTAGGGGCAGTTGGTCTATCTCGCCCCCTCCCCCACGTGACACCGGAACCCACTTGTGGCGAATCTACATTTAATATTAGGCATTGAAACACAAGTAAGATTTTTAAACATAGTAAAGAACCAGTTTCTAGGCAATGACACCTATTTCGAATAAGGAACTCTTCGTATAGTTATTTCAGGATCCTCGCCAGTGCTAGAGAGCCTGTGCACTGTGCTGAGCTTCTCGGACTCAGACTTGAGTTAGAAGAAAGAACAGAGCACTTATGGGTTACTACCCGTGTGCCATGATGTTGATCCGTTGTTTAAACTTCAAACTTATAATTCATGCTGGGTAGTATTCCTCAAATGTGTCAAGTTTCTGTTTCGTATACTGTCAGGAATTCTCAATATAATTCTCCCCTAATCTCCGCTTGTACGTTTTCGTCACATCGCCTGTTATCACGAGGTACCCTAACTCACTCATAATGCGACATGTAATGTTATCAGGACATCCTCAAGCTCTCCTTTTCTTCAAATGGGGAATAGAATGTTATCGAGACGTACCCAAGCCCTCCCTTTCTTCTAAATGCAACATAATGTTATCAGGACCTTCCCAATCTCTCCCTTTATAATAATGTGCAATAGAATATCAAGATGTACCCCAGCTCTCCCTTTCTTGTAATGTGCAACAGAATGTTATCAGGATGTACCCCCAGCTTCCCCTTTCTTGTAATGTGCAACAGAATGTTATCAGGACGTACCCCAGCTTCCCCTTTCTTGTAATGTGCAATAGAATGTTATCAGGACGTACCACAGCTTCCCCTTTCTTGTAATGTGCAATAGAATGTTATCAGGACGTACCACAGCTCTCCCTTTCTTGTAATGTGCAATAGAATGTTATCAGGACGTACCACAGCTCTCCCTTTCTTGTAATGTGCAATAGAATGTTATCAGGATGTACCCCAGCTTCCCCTTTCTTGTAATGTGCAATAGAATGTTATCAGGACGTACCACAGCTTCCCCTTTCTTGTAATGTGCAATAGAATGTTATCAGGATGTACCCCAGCTTCCCCTTTCTTGTAATGTGCAATAGAATGTTATCAGGACGTACCACAGCTTCCCCTTTCTCATAATGTGCAGTTGAATTTTATCTGCACATACCCCAGCTCCTTCTTTCTTCTAATGTGCAATAGAACATTATCAGAACGTACCCAAGCTCTTCTACTGCAGGTATAAAAAAAATAAGTTCAAAGTTATGTAACACCTTATTAACGATAACTTGCTCAAGACGAACACTAGGTTAAAATGAACGAAATGCTG